TGGGAGTAGAGTGGTGAATGGAGAAGGTTCTTCAGGCAGAAGCACAGCTGCTCTGCAAGATGTAGCTCAAAGGAAGATGCTGGCGGTTACCATGACATTTTCTAGAAGAGGAATGGAGCTGGGATCAGATTGCCACAGGGGAGGTGCTTCGCATCCCTCCCTTTGAACAAAATGATGCAGGAGGCAATTAAAAGGAGACCAGAGCAAAAAAGGGAGACCTGTTAATTCCCTCCACTGGCAGCATCGATTAACATTTACTGTTTTGTTGTTGTTTTTTAAGGGTCAAGCTGTGTTGGGATTTGGGGACACAAAATCTAAAAATGAATGACATATGCTTTTTACCTGGGTGAAGGTCACAATCCATCTCGAAAAACTTATAAAGTATGACAAAGCACAACAGGTATTCCACTACAGTTACATACCAGGACTTTGGGAACGATGTGAAAAGAAGCTAGAGAAACATCATAAAAGGTTATGCCTCAGTTGAGGAGTCAAAACTATGGCCTGGAAAAAGGTGGCATGAGTAAAAGCTCAGGTTTGAAAGGACCTAGTGGTTTGGGTAGAATAGCCCCAGAATCTAGTGTGGAGTTTAAATTACAAGACATCTGGTATTCCATGAGCCTAGAACTATCCAAAGGTGTTCAGGAGTGAGTACCCAATTTAGAATCCCAAAATTTAAAAAGTTGAATAAACAGAAGTATTCAGCATCCATTTAAGATAATTTCTTATAAATCTGGGATTATGGAAAAATCCTAATGGGGCCTCCCTGGTGGTGCAAGGGGTTAAAGTGCAGCACTATGAAGCTATCCACAGCCACTACAGCAACAGTTTGATCCTTGGCCAGGGAGCTGACCCACATGGCACAATCCAATCTTGCCTGCTGCTCCCCTCAGCAGTGTATTTTGATCAATCCACCTGTTCTTTTGCCCACTCTGTCTCTGATTAATCCCCTCACCTCCTACCCTCTGGCCTATACCCATTCTTGTATGCATGAATGAATAAATATTTCTTAAAAATCCTAATCACTAGAAATCAAGATGTTAAAAATACAGAAAAAATGATTTTACCTATCATTTTAACATGCACACTACATTATAGGAACTAAGACTTAGAATCTTAATGCCAGGGTATAAAAGGCATTATTATTAATAATGGTTAATATAATAAGTACTTTCATAGTACTTATTACACTTTCTGAGGTAAGGATATTTATTTCCTTCTTAGCACTTACAACAAGGTGCTAAGACAAAATAGGAAGAAACTGAAACACAGCAGGTTGTTGCATAATATATATAGTTCAACATTTCATTATAATGTTGATTAAAAAAGTAATCCCAGTAAACTTAGAAAAAAAAGACAAGATGTTATTTAAGATCTGGCTTCATGACATTTTGTTTTCACTTAATAGCTCCAAGAACCTATCAACATCAATGACTTACTCTGTACACCAGATCTAGCATCCTCCAACACAGGGGAATATATCACTCCTGCTCTAGTACAAGAGTTGTTAACTACAGAGAGTCAGATATTTAGCACAAAGCAGCCATAGACTATACGTACATGAATGAGAGTAGCCTATTTTGACCCCAAAGCCTTAGTTTGGTGACCTCTGATTTAGAAGTACGGAGGTCTTTAAAGATGACAAAGGTACCATGGAGCCTACCATTGGCAACCTCCCTTGGTTTTGAGGCACTGACTTTAATTTAAGATCTTAAGAGTGAAGAGGAAACAGCCAGAAGAAGAGCTGGCATGGGGAAGAGAGTGGTGATGTTAGAGAAGAGCACTCCCAGCAAAAAGGCCAGGGAACTTTGTGGCAGGAACAGTAAGGGTTAATTTGACTGGGAAGAGAGAGGGGTTCATGATGAGTTGGAGGTGAAGTCCTAAGAATCTCTGCAGGACAAGTTAAGGATTTTGAACTCTATCCTAAAGGTGCTGGGAAGCCATGACCACTGCAGGGTTTTAAACATGGAATTGACTTTATTTACCTGCTAATTAAATAAATATTGAATAAGGGCCTACTACATGCTGGGCAATTATGAACAAAGTCCTTGCTCTAGGATACACAAATCCTGGTGCAGGAGACAGGCCATAAACAAAACAAACCTTGCTATAAGTGCTAAAAAGGAAATAAACATCCTCACCTCTCAGGGAGTGAGTTTAGACTGACAAGTCAAGAATGGACTGGTATGCAGATAGGTAGGATGTGGCACGCAGAACATAGGGAGAAGTTGCTGAGGGGAAAGGTAGGTAAAAATTTGGCACATGGTAGTTGATGTCCTAAAGTCGGTGTGACAAGAGAGTGAAGGTCGCAGAATGTGAGAGACGAAAGGTCTGTTCAAATGGGCTACAAATGCCATAGAAAGTCACTAGTGCATTTAAGGAAGTCAAGCAATATAGTCTGACCTGACTGATCTGTCTATATGGAAAACAGACAGGAGGAGAATCTGACTGGAAGCAGGGAAAACAGAGGATACTACTGCAGTAGCCTAGGCCAAAGGTAGTGGAGGCTCAGGACAGGGGGAAGCAGTGGAGATTGAGATAAGAGTTCTAAAATATATTTGAGGTAGAAGTGATACAACTTACTGAAAGACTTGGGGGAGGGGTAGTTGGTAATGGAGAACACTACAAGATGATTCCCAGAGGTCTGACTTTGATAACCATGTTGATGACAGTATCAGTTAGTAAGATGGGGAATACCAGATTTGGATGATGGGAAAACCAAAAATCTGTTATTTGGCTTTAGGGTGTCTAACACATCCAAAAGAAGCTACTGAACAAGTAGCTGTTTGATTCTGGAACACAGATGAGAGAAGGCTGGGCTATGAATTTAAATTTGGGAGTTGACCACTTATTAATGGTATTTTAAAGCCACAGGATTGGATCACTTAAAAGAAACATGCAGAAAAACAAGCTTTACATTTAGCTGAAGGTAGAGAGCAGAATACTAGAAAGGTAACTGAGGAACAGAAATATGAAGAAAATCCAGAAGATGCCAATGAAGTGAAAAGAGGGTTTCAAAGGAAGGAGTAAACTGTTAAATATTTCAGAGGCTGAGGAAGATAAGAACAAAGTATCCACAGTATTTGGCAAGATAAAGTCACTGGTGACTTGACAAAAACATTATCAAAGGAGTGATCAGAAGAGATGCCAAACTGGTGAAGGCTAAAGATGAATCAAAATAGAGAAAGCTGAGTTGGCACAAGTAGAAGTCTGACTACAAAAGAAAATGTTTTAAAAAGCAAGACCTAAGGAAGGGGGACTTGGAGGATACCAGAATATAATTTGCATGTTGATGGGAATTTATATATATACTTTTAAAATTTATTTATTTAAGAACTGGGGTACAGGCCAGAGGTGCAGGAATGAGGGTGAGAGGATTCACCAGAGACAGAGTGGGGAGTAGAACAGGCAGATCCACTGAAATACGCTGCTGAGGGGACTAGTGGGGACACAGGAGAGGTCTGCTGTGCCATGTGGGTGACCTCCGTGGCCAGGGATGGAACTCGTGTTGCATCACTTCACAGTGCTGTACTTTAACACTAGGGAGGGTCCAAGAATACATTTATAAGGAGGCTAAATAGGATTTGGTGATTGACTTTACTGGGAAACAATGGAGACAAAGAATCTAAGGATTATACACAGGATTCCAACTGTGTATAATCTTACCAAAAACAACAACAGGAGCAAATTTGTCTCCAAACATCATGTTTCCACCAGGCTAGGTAAGCTTCCTTCATGGGAAGGTCTGCTGAGTGAGAACTGTAAAATGTCAAGAGCCTCTTTAGGCTCACCATTTCCTGATGTGGTTAATCTCTTGAAGAGGTTCAAACCTTTTAGGGAGTAACAACACCAAACTAATCTAATCTAGTAATTACACAAAGCGGCTGAGTAAAAATGGACTTAAACTGGCTAAAGAGATGTAAGTCATACAAAAGGACTCCGAATTCAAAGTTGATGGAACAACAATCACACTTTTGTAAACAATACACTGGTAACTTAAAAAATGTTTAAACTTTAAGGTAAACAATGTAACTAAGTTTTTTTTTTTTCAGAAGAAATCAAATTCAGTATTGCTTATATTCTCCGAGTTCATTAATAGCATAGGTGTAACTTAACGTTTCCTTGCAACTTTTCATATTACAGTGAATTTCCATGGATATATTTTCAGAGTGCTTAGGCCTCCTCATAGAGAAAAATAACTATCAGTCCTTGCAACAACCCAGGGAAATGAAGAGTTCCAATTAACTCAGGGGAGTGCTAGAAAAGGCAGAAATTTTAAGAATATAATTTTGACTTTATAACCTATTCAATGTTTGTGGAAGGCGTTTGATGGATATGGCAACCTACAGAAAGTTCTAATTTGACAATATGGGAAAAGGTGCAATTTGGCATAGTCCTCTAGCCTCAAGGGAGAGCTACTGAAAGTTTCACAGGTCTCACATCCCCACAACAAATAACTCGATCAACTGATCCCGACTCAGAAGCCCTAAGTCCTTTCCACTCGCGTGGCCCAGTTTCAGGACCTGCGAGGACCGGATCCTAGAAAGCCTGCTGATACAATATGACGCCCAATTCACTGGCTCCGGGTGCCAGGTTTGGGAAACACCTTTAATCTCTGAGCAACTACCCCGCTTTCCTCCTCCCTCACAGAACAGGGAAGGACGCCCCCCCCTTCTTCCCGCATACTGCTCCCCAGTGCCTAGTCCCCTAAGGGACCAGGCCCTTGGAGCCCGATCCCCCACCCGACCCATTCGAAGAACACGCTCCCCAGTCTGAACTTTACCTGCCTGAACCCAGTCGCTTCTCCGGTTGCTCTAAGCCCCCACCGAGGAAAATGGAGTCGCCGAACCGAGACTGGGAAAGGGTAGTACGGACCCACCGCACGGTCCCTCCGCCGCCAGGGCCGCCGCTGCTGCGTCAAACGTGCTACGTCACTTCCGGCTCCCTGTCACCGGGAGTGGGCGGATCACTTTTTTGCTCTTTGCCTACCCAGCCCTCGGGGTTTTGTCCGGGCGAACGGTGGTGCGAAAAATGGCTGAAGCGGTTCGGAAGGCAGCCGTCAGAGTCCCGGGAACAGAGCGAAGGAATCGAAAGCAACCCGGGTAGTCGGTTCCTCAGGCCGCTCTAGCCGAAGGGACCATAAAGACCAGACTAGGACTTCTTCATTTCCTCATCTCTGTGGTTCCGCTTGTAGTTTCCGTTTCCGGGGAGGGGCCGCGTTCTCCGCGACGATTAGGTAGGGGCTCGGCGAAGCTGCCGCGATGGCTGTGGTACCGTTACTGTTGTTCGGGGGTCTATGGAGTGTTGTAGGAGCCTCCAATGTGGCTGTGGTAACGTGCGGCTCTGTGGTGAAGCTACTCAATACGCGCCACAACGTGCGACTGCACTCACACGACGTGCGCTATGGGTCAGGTACTGCCACTCGAGTTCGGGTGGGCTGGGAAGGCCTGGAAGGCTCGAGAGAGGGCGGGGCCTGAGCAAAATGTGAGTGGTGTGAGTGATCTGAGTGGTGAGAGGCGGGGAGAAGTGCCAGGTTTACAGGTGGACCTCAGGTATCCTAAGTATAAGACCAGCTTCTGTCTGGCGAGCAGGCGCATTATATACGCGTTTTCATCCCACTTGTAATATTCCTGCGAGACAGATAGTAGTATTGCCACTTAACAGGCGAAGAAACAAACTTCAGAAATGAAGTACGTGCTTGAAGTTAGGAAATGACAGAGAGGGTTTTGATTCAGAACTGTCCAGGGACAAAGCTAACTGCTCTCAGCTTCTCCAGGCTGGCACTACCCAGTGCCTAATTCCTTTGGCCTTTCTTCATAGAAGCTGTTATCTTCTTGTAAAGAACTTAAACTAAGTACTTGCTGGAATTGAAGTGGAATCTGCTCAGAGCACTTAAAAGAAAAAGATTTATTTACTTATTCATACAGAACTGGGGTGCAGGCCAGAGGTGCAGGGGTAGTGAGAGGATTCACAAGAGACAGAGTGGGGAGCAGTACAGGCAGATCTACGAAGTACATTGCTGAGGGGAGCAGCTGGTGGGTTCAGGAGAGGTCTGCTATGTCATGTGGGTCACCTCCAAGGCGGGGATCAAACTCATGCTGCAGTGGCTTTAGCTTCTTAGTGCTGTGCTTTAACACTCTGCTCCACCAGGGAAGGCCCATCAGAGGACTTTTTAACGTGATTGTTAAAAATGCTTAGTTTGTGGGTTCAGTCATTCAGCATAGATTTAATGAGCTCCTGCCGCACACTTAATCTTAGAAGTTAATGGTAGTGAGCTAGTCAGCAAGTTGCAACAAAACAAGAACAGACCAAGAAAAACAAACAAAAATTCAGCTAGTGAATTGTGAGAGGCATCTACGATGACTGCTAGGTTTCTGTCTTGGATGGTTGATGCTCTGTTAGCTAAGAGAAGGTGTTCATTTAGATGGGGCTGGTCTCTGGTTGCTGATTTCCAAACCTTTCTGACCACAATTAGACAAGGAAAGAAACTGAGTTGTCATTGCTGGGATGGCCTAATTATCGTAGCAGTCATCCAGTGAACATCTATGTCCTAGGCTTAATACTTTTTAATTTAACCTAGCTTCCTACTTTGAATCTACTAAATCATAATATGGGTGGAGAGATGCCTGCCAGTAAGAATCTGCAGGTTTAAATAGTTCTTCAGATGTTCCTGATGGACAGCAGATTTGAGATATAAGGTTTATTCTGAACGCAGAAGAAAGCTCTGTACTGAGCCTGAGACACAGAGTTAAGTACAGCAACGTTATAAGGTTGAAGATGGGAGAAGAGTAAATGAGATTGCCCTGGCTGAATTGTAGTTTCAACCTCTGTCAATTTGCATCACTTGAAAAACTTGTTAAAAATACATGCTCTGGGCCTCCCTGGTGACACAAGGGGTTAAGTCTCAGTGCTATGAAGCAGCCACTGCAGCACAGAGTTTGATCCACATGGCATAGTGGCTGTCTCGGCTGCCACTCCCTTCAGCAGTGTATTTCAGTCAATCCACCTGTTCTACTCCCTTCGCTGTCTCTGGGGAATCCTCTTACCTCCATCCCCCACATCTCTGGCCTATACCCTGGCTCTTGTATGCATAAATAAAAAAGTCTTTATATATGCATGTGTACACATACACACAAAAGACTATATATATGTGTACACACACGCATGTGCTTTATCCTGACCTTAACAACTAAGACCAGGGCTAGAACTCTGTGTAATTCTAAAGTTTAAGGATGGGGGAGAAAGTAGAGGGTTGATTAGAAATTTAAAAAGTGTAGAACGAGATTTAGTGAGGCATAATAATAAGGATCAAGGGAATTACAAGGCAGTAACCAGAAGTAAGGAGAGTTAGCTTACTTTTCTTCTTTTTCTTTTCAAGCTGTAACAGCATTATGAGCTGAATGGAAGAAACAATAGAAAGAAGCTAATAGTTTAGTTACAGACATTCATCCACATGACACAGTACAAGGGTGGTAAAAGGGCTCAGTGGTAAAAGGGAAGTTTGGTCAAAAGATTGGTTAGGCAGGACCAAGGGACTGAAGGCAAAGCTAGCAGAAACAAGGGAGAGAATCCAAGGGAAGTATCTGGAAAATATGGAATGCCTTCAAAGAATTGGGTAATGGTCTTTTGGGGATAACTTGACCGAATAAAGCTTTGTGGAAGCCCATGGTAGGGTAGTTAGAGTATGCATCCTAGAGTGGGCTGCCTTTGTTCAATACATAGTACTGTTATTTGGGTCTGTGTTGCCTTGGGCATTCTATTCAGGCTTTCTAACACTGCAGTATAAATTGAGTGTTATAATATCTACCTCAGAGAATAGATATATGCGTCAAATAAGAATGTTGAGGCGAATTATCTGTGTATTTTCCTTATTTTTTAAGTCATGCTACATGTTTAACATAGCACTTTTTAACCTGCCAAGATAATCCACTTAAGGCAGTACTAACTAAATTTGTGTGACTTAAGAATGATTTTATGTTATATTGATAGGTCACTTAAGGAATTTGGAAGTTGCTAATCACTGCTTGGATTAAAGTTGACAGCAAAAATGTCCCATATGAAAGTTGATAAAATTTTGACTAATACATAGTAAACATTAAATAATATTACAAATATGTTAGAATTTTATCGTATATTATACTTGACATAATGGGGGCTATGTAGGCTGATGTATATACAGGTAAATACTGCTTATGCTTCAAAAAATCTGATGTTCGTTTATTTAGAGCCTTTTTTTTTTTTTTTAAAGATTTCATTTATTCATACAGAACTGGGGTACAGGCCAGAGGTATAGGGGCAGTAAGAGGATTCATCAGAGACAGAGTGGGGAGCAGAGCAGGCTGACTGATGAAGTACTGCTGAGGGGAGCAGCTGGCGGGTCAGGAGAGGTCTGCTGCACCATGTGGGTCACCCCAGGGCAGGTGGGGATCGAGCTCATGCAGAAGTTTCTTTAGCTTCTTAGTGCTGTGTTTTAACCCACTGTGCCACCAGGGAGGGCCCATATTTAGAGCCTTTTAATGCAAGTTGTTGAAATATTCAGATATTTTGTGTGCCTTATTATAGTTTATTATACAGTTAACTAATAATTAAAAATACATTTAGTTTTTATGTGGTAGAAGGAAAATATTAGCAAACATAGGGCTTTCTTCTTACCCTACCAGATGTATTTTATGACACAGGGTACATTAGTGGCCATAAAAAAAGGAGAGGAATCAGATTGAATTAACCCTCTTTTTTTTTTTTTTTTTTTGATTTTTATAAATATTTTTAAGCTATATTTAATGAGGAAGCATTGGTTTGCAAAACTGTATGAATATTAGCAAACATAGGGCTTTCTTCTTACCCTACCAGATGTATTTTATGACACAGGGTACATTAGTGGCCATAAAAAAAGGAGAGGAATCAGATTGAATTAACCCTCTTTTTTTTTTTTTTTTTTTTAATGATTGCAGGTAGTGGGCAACAATCAGTGACAGGTGTAACCTCTGTGGATGACAGCAACAGCTACTGGAGGATACGGGGGAAGACTGCCACAGTATGTGAGAGGGGAACCCCTATCAAATGTGGCCAGCCCATCAGGCTCACACATGTCAATACTGGCCGAAATCTCCATAGTCACCACTTTACCTCACCTCTTTCTGGAAACCAGGTGAAGTGACATCCTGTGGGTCATTGTTGCTCTGTGCATTACTTGGTTGAGTCATTGTGTGCTATCTTGATTCCTAGTCCTTTCTTTTCCAGGTATACAGATTCACTTTTGTGCAGACCTGCCTAGAGAAATTACTTTTTCTCTGAAGTGTTAAGGAAATTGTTTCTGGTCAAGATGGAGATCAAGGCCATTTCATATTTGGATCAAGTCATGAGGAAAAAGGATACAATAGATATATGTTGGCATAACATATTATACTGATAAATCTTGCAACAAATTAACCCAGTGTTTAAAAAAAAAAAAAAAGCATTTTTTAGCCACATTAGAAAATGAACAAAGTGCCACCTTTAAACCTTGAGTTTTCAGGAGATGTGACTGTTTTCTGGGGGTAGCCCCAGGTTGCATACAGTTTTTCCTATTAAGATCTTTAAGTTAGTGTGGTAAATTTGCTACAATTAATAAAGTATTATTGATAAATTATTATCAGCTGAAGTTCATAGTTCATTCTGATTTCTAATTACTCTTACCTGCTTCAGGATCCCTTCTGGGGAACCATATTACATTTAGTTGTCATGTCTCCATTGCCCTTCTCTGGCAGTGATTTCTCAGATTCTCCTTGTTTTTGGATGATCTTGATAGTCTTGAGAATGTTGGTCAGGTATATTATGGGATGCACCTCTATTGGAATTTGGTATTTTCCTCAAGATTAGATTGGATTGGGGTGAAATGTCATCGTCATTACATTGAATCAAGTATACGTACTACTGGGACCTACCTGGTGGTGCAAGGGGTTAAAGCACAGCACTATGATGCTATCCACAGCCACCCCACCACAAGTTAGATCCCTGGCCAGCGAGGCAGACCTCTTCTGTCTCGCCCACTGTTCCCCTCAGCAGTGTATTTCAGGCACTCTGCCTGTTCTGTTCCCCACTGTCTCTTGGTTATCCTCTTCTTCCTCCTACCTATGGCCTGTACCCCGGTTCTTGTATATATAAATAAATCAGTTAAAAAAGAAAAAGTGTACATACTACCTATATGATTTGTTCTGGTTGATGTTGATGACCTGGCTGAAGTAATGCTTAACAGGATTCTCCTATAAAGTTACTTTGTTTTTCACCTTTCAACACTGTTCTCTTTGGAAGGAAGTCACTGCACAGCTCCCCCTTCTTTAGGATAGAGTATTAAAAATACTTTAGTAAAAATACTGCATAGGAGATTTGTCTTTTCTCTATTCAGTCATTTATTTATATAGTTATGGATTCATGAATATTTACTTTCTACTTGTAATCTGATACCACTGTCCTGACTTTGATGTACAAATTATTGTAACTTTGGATGTGGGAGCCCTTTTAGTTGTCTCCTGTGTCTATTTAACATAGTCCTGTCATTGATACGGAACACTTCCTTACTTTCTGACACTAATAACTTCCAACTTTATTTTATATGTGTTTTGCCTTAGTTTTAGAATGAGCTATTTTTTCAAGGAGCCCTGCTTTTATTGGAGAGACATATTGGAAACCAAGATCTGGACCCTACCTGAGCTTGTTACTATTGGGATGTGGTTTCTTTTAGGCTCTCTCACCTAACAAAGCAAAGGAATAAATGTGTATATACTAACATATGTATTTATACACCATACCTATAAATGTTTATATGTATAACCATCGGTGTCTATAAACATGAGTTTTTAACTGATGTTTCCAACTATAAGCCTTTGCCACATAACTTATTCTAGCTTCCTGTGAGCTTATTTGTAAATTCCCACAGTTAACACTGAGCTATTTAGCTCCTAGCACTGTCATCCATTTACTTAATTCGGTTTTGGTATGCAAGTATAGTAGTATCACATTGTTGACCTTTACCCTTATGTGTAGTGCATTTTTTCTTTATTCATACTCCTTTTCCAAATGACTGATTTTCATCATCTAAAATTAAAGTGATAAATTTGTAAATTACATTTTTCTGAAATAATCAGTAATTTTGTTATTGTAATAAAAACTTTGAATATTTGGCCTCAAGGGGAATAGGATCTGAGGAAGAATTGACGGTACACTGGTGTATTTTGCATAATTAATACTTGTTATTTCACTTAACTCTCACAATTAGTCTATAAAGTGATCTTTCTATCATTTTATTATTTTTTTAAACATTTTTAAAAAAATATTTATTCATACAGAACTGGGGTACAGGCCAGAGATGCGGAGGGTGAGAGGATTCACCAGAGACAGAGTGGGGAGCAGATCAATGAAGTACACTGCTGAGGGGAGCAGTGGGTGGGTCAGGAGAGGTCTGCCACGCCATGTGGATCTCCTCCGGGGCAGGCGGGGATCGAACTCATGCAGAAGTGGCTTAAGCTTCTTAGTGCAGTGCTTTAACCCGCTGCGCCACCAGGGAGGGCCCTCATTTTATTATTTTTTAAGATTTGATTAAGTTTTACATGGAAGAACTGGGGTGAGAGCGTGAGAAGATTCATCAGAGACAGAGTGGGAAGCAGAACAGGTGGATCACTGAAATTCCTACTAATGAAGGGAGCAGCGGGCAAGATAGGAGGGATCTGTTGTGCAGTGTGGGCCAGTTCCCTGGCTGGGGAGCAAACCTTTGTTGCAGTGGCTACAGATAGCTTCATAGTGCTGAGACTTAACCCCTTGCACCAGCAACGAGACCCCTATTTTCACCATTTTATAGGGAAGAAAAAGAAGACTTGAGATACAAGAAGGGATTGAGCTGAGATTAAAGGTCTGCTGTCTTCAGAGCTTATCTCCTTTCCAACTTGTGTTTTTTATCACTTATTTATTAGGTGCAATATTTTCATTGACTGATTAATCCTTGAGTATTAAGAGTCATTGCTATCACTCTTGTAAAGGGAAGAGTCAGGAAATAAAGTCAAATAACAAGAGTTATAAAGTATTTGACAATTAAAGTAAAACACAGAAGTCAATATAGGCTTATTTGTAAAATAAGTGTCTGGACCACAATCTTCTGGCAGCTAATTTCATGTCCTTTTCATCTTTTTACACAGTATATTTTTTTCCCACAGTATATATTTTTTCCAAACAACACTGGAAAAATCTTATTTTTCACTTTTATATAACCATATTCTTCCCATTTCCTCTTTTCCCTTTCCAAGTCTATGTCAGCCATACTAATGTTGCTATCATTTGTGTATTCCAGGAAGTGAGTGCTTTTGGTGAGGAAGGAGAAGGTGATTATCTGGATGACTGGACAGTGCTCTGTAATGGGCCCTACTGGGTTAGGGATGGTGAAGTGCGGTTCAAGCATTCCTCCACAGATGTTCTGCTGTCTGTCACGGGAGAACAATACGGTCGACCCATCAATGGGCAAAAAGAGGTGCATGGTATGGCCCAGCCAAGCCAGAACAACTACTGGAAAGCTATGGAAGGCATCTTCATGAAGCCTAGTGAATTGTTGAAAGAAGCCCACCACACAGAGCTATGAGTCTGGAGGCTGTGAGCCACTGTCACCATACAGTGTTCATAGACTTCTGCTGCTCCTTCATGCTGGGGTCCCTGCCACAGCTTTCTTGGGAAGTGGCTATGTCATCACTGAGATGAAGATGCATGGCAGAAAACTGGCTGTGTTTGGAAGCTTCAGCTCTTCACACTTGAATTGATTGGTCTTCCCGCCTTGGGTTAGTTTTTTCTGAGTACAGATTGTCTTTCCAGACATGGGTCAGTTTTTTGCTGATAAAGGAGCAGCTGCTTTTTATTCATATTGATTAAACAGAAACTGAGGGAGACATCCCTTCTAAAACAGGAATATTTTTATGTCTTGGAAGCTTGACATCATTGATTACTGATGTGTGACTTTTCCCCAATTTTTTCCCCCTACAAAATGATAAAGAATTTAATTGCTGGTCATCGTGTTGTTATTTATTAGGTGCAATATTTTCATAGACTGATTAATCCTTGAGTACTAAGAGTCGTTGCTATCACTCTTTTGAGATACTGGACACCTTTGGTATAGGTTCTTAAGATACATATATCTAACCTTTTCTCTTTGAGCCCTCAACACCCCAGTTTTACTAGATTTATGCCTAATTATGACCCTCAAAAGAATGTAACTTAATAAATAGCCAATGAAATGTTTCATTCTGTATCTGTTACTTAAGAGTTGAGAAGTTGTGGGGATAAAAAGAGGAATCAACATTTACTCCTGATACTAAATAGACACTAAATTATTGATCTTACCTCTGTTAATTTTCACAGATACAGGTAGTGTATTTACTGAAAAGTAACTGCTTGAATCCTGAGAACTAGTAAATAAAGATAAGTTCTCTTTATTTTGATAAATTAGGAATAGCTTTATAAAAAGGGTTAAAAAGCCTTTTTGATCATTCTGTTCCTCTTATTTCTTGCCATCTGCTGATGAATTGCAGCAAGTTCACGCCTGTATCTTTCAAACATGGTGGTAGTGACTAAGGTGCCTGCCATCTGCTGGAATGTCAGTGATTAGCAGACCTTTTTATTTTTAGAAACTTCCAGATACTACCCCCACTTTTTTGGGGGGGGTTAACATTGAACATATGAGGATATCAGCTTTGTGCTAGGACTCGACTAATGACATTAAAGACTTTGCTCTCTTTAACAAAGATTTGCCCAGTAAATCTGAGGCCATGAATTTCGATTTCCTTGATCTTTGGAGAGCTCTTTAGACAAAGGATAAAATCAACATTTCAGGCTATTGAGAAAGCCGAGAACAGGGAGGTAACATGGCAAAATGAGAGTCCACTAAATAAAACAGGACAAGATGAATAAGTACAGGGAGAGGTAGGTGTTGCAAGGTAACCTTGGGCTGGGTAGTTGTCAGCTGAGTTGCTATGATTTCTGTTAGTGTTCACAGACAGCATAACCCTGACCGGAAGCTGCAGATTACAAGGATAACCGCTAGGGAACTTGAGAGACAAATAGGACCTTGAAACATTGGGGGAGCCCTTGAGAAATGACTCAAAAGAAAACTAGATACTAAAGGAAACCTAGGGTTTCCTGGTACTTTATCAGAAAGAATGGCGAGTTTCCAATCGAAATCTTGAAGGATGCTATGGAGATTAGGATTTAAGAGCAAAAAGACATGAAATACTCTGTAATTATTTAAAATCCTCATAATTTCTGTAGCTTGTACTGGGTTAGTATCACACATTTGAGTTGGAAGCCCAAATCCCTTCACAGAAGGAACAGGCAAAATACAGTTGGCCTTGCAATTATCTATTTCATGTTTACTTCTCAGATAAACTGTTATCGAGGGCAAGAACAATACACTTCATGGCCCAATTTGTGCCATACACATAGTAGATACTAAAAACTTCAAGATAGTGTCCAGAATGGTTCCAACATAGTAGGTTAAGGTATACAATAAATGCAAAAATCCCAGCGTTTGTAGATTGGAATGAGGTGGGATTTTGGGGGGCCATTTAAATTGCAGCTTGGTTTTCTTAATTTTCAGACAAGTCGTTAAGGAGTAAGGTGGCCGAGTTTGTCCGAACCAGAGTAATAACCTCCGCTGTAACTACGTTCTTAAGTGGCCAAACTGATTCTCTAGCTCCCTCGGGGAAATATTTTGAGAGTGGAACTTTCCGTAGTCGAAACGTCAGGCAGGTCCACAGCAGCCAGGAAACAGGCTCGGACTCTGCACACTGCCAAACCCTAAGTTCCTCATTTCCGGGCGCCGAAAGGGTGCGCCTGGGGGCGGAGTGCTTGTGTCGGTCCGCGCGAGGTCCGTTCCCCCGGCCTCTCCATCC